GTGTGGGTTTATAAAGAGAATTTGAGCCAGAAGGAGGTTATTGAATGTTCCCAATGCAAAGAAATGATAAATCTTTGAGATGATGGATATGCTATTTACTCTGATATGATAACTATACATATGTATTGAAACATCACTGTGTACCCCATGAATATGTACATTATTATTTGTCAATTAAAAAAATTAAATTTAAAAAGTCTCAGAGAAGTAGGTTTTTAGCTCAACAGAAGAACATTTTACTGATGGCAATAATTGGATGGACTCCTGGGTAGGAAGATGAATTCCTCCTATCTGGAGGTATTCAAGTATGGTCTGGAGAGGCATTGGCTTACGGTGGCATCTGGGTGAAGAACCTCGAAGTTCACCTTTGACCCTTAGGTTCCATGAGCCTATGAAGCTCCTCACAAAAACGGATCAATTCCCTCAAAAGAAGTGATGAAACTATCTTTTGGTATGTTAATTTGCAGATATAAAAGCTAAAATTAAATGCCTAAGGTAAACACACTGGTCAATGAGGATACTTTAATTTAAATTTTCTTTACTCCTCAGTCAACTTGAGGTGCATGAGAAAACTACACACAGAAAATGAAAAGGATTCTGCTAGAACTACTGACAGGTTTTAAACACGTTTTTCTTTTCTGTAAAGAATAAATCAAACTCTGGAGAGATGTGCAGTATTGGCAATAATCAAAGACAATATAAAATGTAATAGTTTTTTTCACCTACTAAGTTGGGAAAATAATTTAAAAAGTGGTCACAACCATTATATGTATCAATAGTGATAAAAATGTCATTCTTTTTGACCCTGGTGAAATCACCCTACAAAAACAATGAAAAATATAAAGGAAAACACTGTGTAACATAAAATTCTTCATCTGAGCTTTATTCATAAACAATCTAAAAATCCAAAGAGGGGCAAATGGGCCAGCTGGGTTGCCGGGGATGGGGGCTGAGCTGGTGAGGGGCGCTGGAGGCCCAGGAGTGAGCCTAGTCAACATGCACAGGGAAGGACCCCAGGGTACCGAGAAGTGTGGGATAAACATGACAAATGTAGAGAGCCAAAAGTGGGCATGAAAGCCAAGGCCACTTTGTAAGAAGTCAGCAGGTTACAGACCGGCTAGGAACACACTCTGGTGAGGAATGAACAGGTGCAGCAAAAGAAGAAGAGAGGAGACGAATACCAACGTTAACTCTGATGACCATTTAGCCTCCCTTGTTTGGACACTTTAATTACATTTTTGGTCCTCCCAGTAACCCTATAACTATGTATTATTTCCTCCATTTTGCAAATGGTGTTAAGAAAGGTGAAATATCTTGTCGCAAGGGAGGTAGTAAGTGCTAGAGTCGGGAACTGAATGCGAATGCATCTCCATCCTAACGCAAGCTCATCCTACCACCACACTTGACGCAAGTGTGCGGTCAGGCCCTTCATCAACTGGCAGACCTATGGGTTAGCCCCACGGTAAGTGCCTGGGCAGCTGGTCAGATGGTTTACTCAATTGTAGCCTGTGTCAGTACACTCTGTAGATGTTGGAACTGACGGTTATAATTTCACCAAATACAGGGATACATGTTAAAGGCAAAGGGATGGATACAGATCTGATCATATACTAAAAACTTAAGTAAGTAAAAGACATATTTACACCTTTGAAAAATGACTAGCTAGGTGAGATATATCACAAAGCTTTCAGCAGTGCAATTTGGAGAGTTTTCTCTATTTTTCCAAAAGTTTCTATGGTTTTTATATCTTTATAATTACAAAAAAGTCATAATTTAGAAATTCATACAAGTATCACACAAACACCTAACAGTTTACTAACACATTTTCCCCCGCTAGGAAATTAGCCAAGTCCCATCTTTCCATTTCATCTGGTAACAGAGAACTTGTTGCCAGGGCTTCTGAAGACAAGTGCCCAAACCTCATTGATTCAGGTCTTGCCAGCTCCGTATTGACTGTTCTCTCCTACACGACTCACTGGCCTGGCTCAGGAATCAAAAGAATCTAAGTGTACAAGTGAGGGACTAATCACTGGTGCCTAGACAGAGAGTCACCTTCTGCATTGTGCCCAGCTAAACAGCATTTAGTGAGCATGAAGTGGAACTCTAAACAAGGTGTTAAGGCAGATCTTCAGTTATTTAAGAAGAAATTTATTCTCAGTTTCAAATATCCTTAGGCGCTTTAGACAGAACATCGGTTTTTTGGCTCATTTGTTTTTACCTAGGAGACACTATTCTTTCACTGCAGCAGGTCTTCTAATGAGTTCTATGAAACCGATACTTTTCAGAAGCGGTACTTGTGTTAAAATGCACATTCCCAGACTTATCCCAGATCTACTAAATCAGGCTTTCAAAACCAAAGCCCAGGAAATCTGTATTTTAAGCACCTCGGCCAATTTTTAAGATTGGGATAGTTTGGGAAATGCTAGTATTAATACATAATAGGAATTTTGGTTTTGTGTTCTGTATTTGAATATAATTAAACTATGAATGCTTATAAACAGTATTATTATTCCTAGTCCCTCCAAATGGCCTGAATTAATCCATTGATCAATTACTTAGGTTGAGACTCCCCTAAACATACCCTGAGATTACATGGCTAGATTCTAATCTCAGGACATAAGTTTACACTCATCTTTCAGGCAAGAGGTAAAAGAGCAGGTTTTGCGCAGACCTGGATTTTAATCCAGCTCCACTGCTGACAGCACCAGGACCTTGGACAAGAAATTATTTAATTTACTCTGAGCCCATTCCTATATTTGTGTGTAAAAATGATGGTCTTGCCGTCATATCATAGTAACAGGGCACCAGGTACACAACAGGGGCTCAAAACCATCTCAGTGTAACTACTGTGTGAAACCTCTTGATTCTGTATCAGAATTGGCTCTTATAAGTACGCTTCATTGGTGTATCCATTCCTGATTACATTCTGCCTTATGTGCCAAAAATAATAACTAACATCTGCATGGGTCTTTGTGATTTACAGAAACTTTCCACAGATTTTATCTAGATTACTCTTCACTAGAACTCTGAGTTGGGGATCATTATCTCCACATTAAAAGAAACAAGGCCCAGAGAGGTCAAGTGACCTGCCTGGAAATGGTAAAGTCAGGATTTGAACCCAGATCCCACAATCTTTCCCAGCCTGTTTTATCTCTAACATAACATATATATTATACATTACACAAAACACTTTCACACATGTAATAGCATTTTTATTGTAGATATTTCCATACCTATTTCCCCCACTAGCCTAAAAGCACCTATATAGCAGGTACCTCACTGTATTAGTTTTTAAAGAGAAATGCAGATCTGGCTATTTGTGTCTTTGCTATGCTTAGGGAGAAAAGGAGACCATCTCAACAACGACACATACTTTTTTCTAGTTTCATGTATTCTACCTATTCAAGCCCAAGATGCCCCACGCCGTTAAATGAACATACCTTAACAAGAATTTACTGAATATCTGCTAAGAGTCAGGAACTTTACTTATCTCATGAAATGAGTTAACCTATGTTAAACATTTAGAAAAGTCCTAGCACATATTAAGTATCTATTATTATTATTAAATCATCCATACGCCCTGTGAGGTAGGCATTATTTTCCTCATTATACCGATAAGGACTCTGAGAAGGTAAGTGATCTGTCCCAGACTGCTTATACTGCCAGTTTATGGAAAGCCAGGAAAATACCATAAGGGGAAATTCACATCTATGTATCCTATTAGCAGGCATATACTATTTCACATTGCAAATGATTTTATTTAGTAAAATAAAAGTTCTCAAAGTGGCAGCCACTTCCTCTACTTACTCCAGTGACCCTAAGCTTTCAGTTACAGACCACCAATTAATGGATAAACCATTAGGGAAACCAAAGGCCAAAGCTTTCCAACCAATAACTAAAAGCCAATAATCAGAAATTGCCAACATTTATCAAGCACTTCATTATGTATGTTATCTCTGATTCTTGTAGCAACTCTGCAAGGTATATACTATCTCCTTTTTATGGAATAGAAAATAGAAACTCAGAGAAGATGGGTTAAGTCCAAAGCAAGCAGAGAGCCAGGCTTGGAGTCTAGAAGCGTCAGCCCAAAGCCCTTGCCCTTTGTAATATACAATGCACACTCCATAGGCATTACAGAAAGCAAAGTGCAAATCAACAGGAAGCTCAAATGTGGTTTACCCAAATGTGTGCCAGGTACCTTAGAGATTCAGTAACTGAATAAAGAAAGAGATAAAAATTATGTAACTTCAAAGAACACTTGAGATACAAGATAGGATGAAAGAACTGATACCGGGCGACAATGTCTGTTTCCTGAATGTAACTTTATACCACATCTAACATTATCACCCCCCCCCCTTCATTCCTTTACGAAGATTGATTCAAATTATCAGGTAAGCTGAATCTCAGATCATCCTGAGTGACAAAGGTGATTGGCTCAAGATCTGGCCTTTGAAATCAGAGAAAGTAATCTTTTTCTTTTGAGATAGCCCTTCACATATGTAGATAGCAATCACATCTCTTATGAATTTTCTCTCTTTCAGCCTGAATGTTCCTCCCCTGAACGGAAGGGCATTCCAGGCCTTATAGCACACTGGTCACCTCTACTGCATAATATTCTAAATAAATGAGGATAATGATTGTGTACATCAAAGAATTAATGAAGCTTTATTATAGAACAAAATAGAGGAACAGAGATAGAAGTCCTTAAATGGTAAAAATATCAGTTCAAATCCCGGTCAGGTGATAGGCAACTCAGAGACCCCTTGTCCCCCTTAGAAAAGAGTGCTTTTCCCATCCCCAGAACCACACCGGCCTAGGCTGCTGCCTGGGCATCAGCAAATCCATCTGCCTTCTTTGGAGTGGGAAGTCCAAGTTCAGAACAAGCTGCTGACCTCAGAACCCGACCGGCTCCCGGCCCACATACCACTGTGCGTGGTGGGGCCCGATTTGGACGGCACCATCGCTCGCATATCACACGCCACGCAAGGAAAACACGAAGGCTTTATGAAAAATCCAAAGTTTATTGCAAATTGTATTTTGCTTCCCTTCGTTCTTCATTTTTACAGGATTTATTGATATCCATGATTTTTTCACAGATGTACTTGTTGACTTTGGAGAGTCTCTGTGCAATTTCAGTCTCATCCACAGTTTCTTGTGCTATTCTGTCATACAAACATTCTAGACAGGGAGAACAAACAAGAAGGCCAAGGATTAATGGTGATTTTTGAGTACAAATCTTTTAAGGGGGTGTAAAAGAAAACGTGCCTCCTGACATACTTCCCAAATACCAATTCACATATTTGGTATAGCTATATTTTTAAATTTACATCATAAAATGTACCTAGAAAAGAGTAAATATACTCTGTAAATTTATACTGTAAACATGGTAAGTTTATAATTAATTGATCACAATCAGTTACAGATTTCTTTATTCCTTCTCCACTCCCACTGCTTCAATCGACTAGCCTAAAATAAAAATAAATAATGCTAAGACATCCACATACCCACCACCCAGCTTAGCAGAACACCTCTGTCCCTCTGAAACCCCTGAGTGCCCCTCCCTAATCCTCTTCCCTCCTCTCCCTCACCAGGGGTAACTATTCTCCTGAAATTTTGCTTTGCTTTTGGTGTTAACACATGTACATATCCTTAAAAAACATGCAGCTTATTTTTCCCTGTTTCTACCTTTTTACAAATGTGCCTATACTCTATATATCTTTTAGATTGCTTTTTTTCACTCAAATTTTATAGTTTTGAGATTTATTCATGAAAGCGTACAGCTGTAGGTCACTCCTTTTCACTGATGAGTAGTGGTGTATTGTATGGCTATACCACAATTTGTTTATCCATTTTATTGTCCCTGGACATTTGGTTTTGCAGTCACAAACAACCTGGCACATGTCCCTGGGGTACACATGTAGAAAATTCTCTAGTATCGGCCTAGGTGTGGAATTGTCGGAATGTTAAGATGTGTGCACATTTAATATTACTAGGTGATGCTTAGTAAATTGTTTCCCAAAGTGGTTGTGCTGACTGACACTCCTGTCCAAGTACTGGCTGCCTCATTCCAACAGCACTTGACATTGTCACATGATTAAGGTCTTGACAACCTGGTGAGTATGAAGTGGTGTCTCACCTTGGCAATTACTAATGAGGCTTAGGACAGCCATTCTCTTACTGAGTCTACCATTTGCTGTGATGAATGAAGCAAAGAGCCAGCCCCAGTCAAGCCCTGGCTGGAGCCTGATTTCAGCTGACTTCTAGCCTGGGGCCCTGGTGCAAATCATTGCCCCAGATTCCTCACCTCATAAACAGGGATAACAAACCACAGAGTATCTTTTTAAAGGCTGCCATGAGGCGTGTGGGATAAACATGTTGCCAGCCTTTTTCAAACTGTAAGGAATACTACACCACACTGTATGGGGTTGTTTCAGGTATTCTATGTACATACAACTATTAATTCCCAGGGCCAAGCACAGTGCTTGGCACAGGGACAAGATTATGTAAATTTATGTTAAATAAATAAATGAATAAAGGCTTTTTGAGGGAAACCTGAGGGTACACAAACATTCTGGACATAAGAGGACTAGGTGTGAGAGGGGAATGCACCACGAGGGTATGTAATTATGGGTGAAAACTTTTAGTTCTTTGAGCCTGAGTTTCCTCCCCTAAATAGGAATGCCAATCCAATCTTGAGGAATTGCTATGGCGAATAAGCAAAATCTCGTCTTTACTAAGACAGCCCAGAGCAGGCAATCCTCTCAGAGATGCGCAATGTCAACACTAGACGGGCTTATGAAGACTAACTTGTGCTAACTCCTCCACTTACATATGAGAAGACCTGAGGCCCGGAGAAGGGGAGTGAGCACAGGGCAGAAGCCACTGCTGCCTCCCCACCCGCAGCCTTTCCCTGGCACGGCGCCAGCCAGCCTCCTGTTGCCATGCCGCAGGTGCACGTGTGCTAAGCTGCTTTCTCTGGGGCACTCTTTATTCCCCATTGAGAAGGGCTTTGCACAGGGAAGCCTTTAAAAGCTTTTACACGACCTCCACTGCTTCCTGACTACTCCCAAGCCTGATTAATCCTTACTTCATCTTGCCTTGGCCTTTCCATAAGGACTGAGAGACAAGAAGGCCCTGTCTCTCCAGCTCCACCTCTGCTATGTTCACCTGCAATTCCCTCTCCATTCCAAGCTGCCTGACACATCAGTGTCTTTTCTCATCTCTGCCTAGAATATCCTGGAATCACCCTTCATCTGCCTAAATCCTACTCATTCTTCCAGATTCAGCCTTCTTGGAACCTACCTGATTGAGTAGAGACCCCACTCTACCTACAACTCTGCTCCCACAGCTGCCTGGGTTTTTCTTTCCGCTGAAGCACTGACTACAATCTAATAGAACTGTAACCACATAGTCTCCCTCCACAAACTGGGGTGCTTGGGCTTCCTTCTCCAGCCCTGGGCCAAGAAAAAGCAAACAGGCACAGTGACTTTGCTGGAACCTGAACCAAATGAGGCAGATGGCCTGTGATGAGAACTGCTTAGAAGTTCAGGGGTTCAAGTCTGGCTCCAACACTAGATGCTGTGCAACCTCTAGCGGGAACCTCTCTGGGTCTCAGTTTCACTATCTCTCTAGGGTGTCAGACCAGATAATCTAAGGAGATCCTTCCAGATCTAAGTCTAGTTGTCTGCAAGGTAATAATGGCAGGTAAAGAGGCAAAGGAGAGAAGAGAAAGGCAGGAGAGTGGGTGTGATGGCCTGCAGAAGCCCTAGCAGAAAGAGGAAGGTGCAAATGGAGGAAGGTTTCCAGAGGGGCCCCACAGAATTCCAATCATTCTCATTTCCTAGGGGCAACAGCACTGAACGGCTTCTCAGGTTGATTAAAAGGCTTTCGTTAGAGTCTAGATATTAATCACCTGCAGTTGCTGGGAATGTCTCCCTCTGCGAGGGAGCATTTGAGATTATTGCTTAATTAACAAGGTTTATAACAGCGCTAATGTGTCCTATTAAAAAAGTTATAAAAATTAACCAGAACGCAATGCTGAGGCTCATTTAGAAAACTCAGACACTCTGCGAAAGGTCACTTGACCTTAACAGGTTTAACTGTCATTCTGGAGCTTGTCATTAGAGCAAGACTCTGCTCAAGCTCTCCTGCTTTCATCTTTCTAAAGCAGTGTCAGCATTCACCCCATCCCTCTGCTGTCTGGTAAGAAAGGATTTTAAAATCAAAGAGAAGAGAAAATCCTCACCAACTCTGTGAGTGTAAAGGCTTTTGCCATTTTTATGTGGCAAATGTGACTAAATGTGATAAAATAAGACAAAATAAATACAAACAATCTCAATCCAGCAGACAGCCTGCATGGGAAGAACCAGCCAAATGCAATCTGGAATAGCTCAAATAATTAGGCTAAAAACAGCGATTGTATGATGGAGTGGGAGACAGACTTGAAACCTGCCTGTTGTAGTAAAAAAATAATAATCAACATTGTATTTCAGTAAGACAACACAACTCTGGTGACGGCAGGAAGCCTGAAACCCGGGTTCAGCTTGGCTCTGTCTCTAATCAATTGTATGGCCTTGGGCAAGTCAATTTCCTTATTCACTTACATGGTGAGCATTTACAGGCTCTAAAGGGGTAAGTGGACGAGGCTCCTAGGAGGCAAAGATGCAGTAAGAAGAGAACTGAGGTAGGCACCAGGTGCTCTGAGACATACAACAGAAGCACCCATGCGCCCAAAGAGGTCAGGGACGACTTTCTGAAGGAAGGTTCCCTTAAGCAGATCTGAGTTGGAAAGTAGGTAGTGTGACCTATGTTCCAGGCACTTTGAATAGCATTTACAAATGCCCCAATGTGAGAGGGAATGAGGCTTATTCTGGGAATACAGGAGTTCTTCAAGGTAATAACTAAGAGTTCAAGGGTAACACTGCTGAAAAATAATGCTGGAAATATAGCCAGGGGCCAGATTATGAAGGTGCTTTTATGGCATGCTAAGAAGCTTAGCCTTTAATAATGAACACTATGAACTGGCTGTGACTGGGGTGGTGGTAAAAGGATCATATCTGGTTTCTGAATGATCACTCTGGTTACATAACGGAGAGAGGAGTCTGGAAGCTGCTGGAGTAACGGAGGGGAGGAATGATGTGGCCTGGGCTATGGGAGGGGTAGTGGCTATGGAGAGAAGCTGATGGTTTAAGAGGCGTTTGGGGGCTTAACCGTGAGGCATGTAGAGGAGTCAAGGGTGAGGCCTGGTCCTGGGCTGGTGGTATCACTCACCAAGACAGGGAACATATGAGAGGTGGGAGGCCTTGTGGAGGAGAACGAGACAGCAGTTTTGCCAATGTCATGTGGATATCCAAGAGGAGATGAATATTGGACACTTGGATATATGGATCATGAACTCAGAAGTATGAACTGAGGTCAAACATAGATTTGGGAATCCTTATTCATTGATTCAGCAAGTATTTACTGAGCTCTTACTGTGGGCTAGCCCTGAATAAGATGCTCATGAAGTTTATATTCTAATGGAGGTGGTGAGGGGGAACAATTATGGAGTAAACAAGTAAATGCTATGCAGAGGCTCTATGTAGGGTGATGTGACAGGGAGCAATGGGGAGGCTCCTTTAGACTGGGCGGCTGGCAGGCATCTCTACGTGACAGGGAGGGAGAGTGCAGATCAGGATGGGCATTGCCGGCAGTGGAACAGGAAGGAGCTGGAAGAAGGCCTCTATGGCTACAGCAGGGGGGCAGGCGGGAAGGGCAGTGCGAGACAAGGTCAGAGGGGTCACCGAGGCCAGATCACCAGGCATCAGCCAAGTGAGGAGTGCGGATTTGAATCCAGAGCCAAGAGCATGCTGACGGCAATGGGAATGATGGGAGGCGAGGAAATCTGCCAAGGAATGCTTGGCAGGACGAGAGAGAAGTGGGTTGAAGATGGAGAGGCATTGCCAGGGACACAGTGAGCATGCAGAAGTCTCTCGAGAAGCCTGGATGTGAAGGAAGAGAGACGCCGCAGCAGCTGGGTGACGTAAGTGCCCTCAAAGGAGTGTTTGCTTTTGAAAGAAATGAGTAATCAAGGCATATTTAAACGGTGTTGAGAAGGAATCAGTAGAACAGGGGCATAATTGGAGCAACAAAGCACTGAGGAAGGCAGGTGGACTGGGATCTAGGGCCCAGCTGGAGAGAATTACCAGCACCAAATAAAAGAAGGAAACTCATCTTTGGGGACCTGAAAAATAGGAGCATAGATTTAAGTCTGTAGGTGTGGTGGTTAGAGGCTGCCCAAACTACCTTTCTCTGTGAAGGAAGACACAGGGCCATCTTTTGAGAAAGACACAGGTGTGGAGCGGACTATCATGTTTGGAGACAAAGTGGAGAAATTGAAAGAGATTGGAAAGTGGGGGAGTAGCCCAGGGAGGGAAACTCGGAGAATGTGGCAAATGATCTAGGTCCCAGCTGCGGCTGAGGACAGTGAGTGTGTAACGGCCCCAGCCACACGGCTGAGGTGTATTCTTCCTGACTGTTTCACTGCTACGGTCCTCAGCAGCCCTGACCATCCTAAGAGGTAAGTTTTCGGCAAAGGGAACAGAGACATGGAGAGAAAAAGTGATTTACAAGAAATCACACTAATGGTCCATCAGGGGATCAGCTTGTGGGTCTCAGTGTTTCTTTTGCTCAGCGCTCATTGACTGAGCTCCTACTGTGTGCCAGGCACTGTGCTAGGCAACGAGGACACAGAGACGAATCAGATACGGTCCCCAGGGCCGAGGCAGACACACAGCAGATGATTTCATATCACGTGACAATGGTAAAGACAGCCAGTTATGGGAAGGTACCAGGACCTGCTGAGTCACATTCTAACAAGTGTAGCAGAATTAGAGGTCGGCCACCTACCAGGCAAGGCAAGGCTTCATTCCTGGGAGAGCCTCTTTCTCAGGGCGACCTCCTAAATCAGGCTTGACCATTTCAGACAGGAGCCAGAATGAAGGCTACCTCTGATTATCTAAAAATCAGTGGCTGCCTAAATCAATTAATCACGAGCCAGCCCGGCAAGGGAGGCAGCTGTGTTACAGCAGAACAAGCCCCAGACCAGAGTAAAGGGGTGTGGCTCTGAAATTTATAGCTGTGACCTCAGGCTCGTTGCTTAATCTCTCTGTATCCTGCCAACCTCCAAAATATACCCTCAACCTGGCCATTTTTCTCCACTTCCCCTGCTGTACCCTTAGTCTATGGCAGTGGCATCTCTCCCTGAGAGCTCTGCGTCACTGTCTACCTGATCTCCCATGTGGTCACTCCATGAGTGGGAGAACCCCATTGCCTTTCTACTGCAAGTAGAGTAAATCCAAGTTGTTTACCACGGCCTTCCAGCTCTGTAAGACTGGCTCTTGCCCACCTCCCTGACCTCACTCTCCCCTCCCTACACCCCAGCCACTGGGACTTCTCCACTCCTTGAGCACACTGGCCTTTGCACCTGCTGCTTATTCCGCCTGATTCGCCACCCTCAGACCTCAGACAGGGCTGTCTCTTCCACACCCAGCTTGCAGTTCGAATGTCACCTCCTCAAACTGATCTTCTCCAACCATCCCAGCTGCTGCCAACTAGTGCAGCTCTCTTTGTCCTACCACATCCTATAAGGAAGCTCACAGTATCTGGAACTATCTGACTTGTTCCTGGACATATTTGTTGTCTTATCCCAGAACCTTCCATGGGGCCTGCTCAAAATATATGTGTTAACTGACTGAGTCTTACTTTCCTTATGAAAACATGGCAGACCTGGGTGCTTAGAGAACAGTGGTTTATGAGCACAGAACCTGAAGCCAGCCTGCTGGCTTGGACTCCTGGCTCTATTCCTATGAGCTGTAAGACCTGGTCAAGTTGCCTAGTATCTCTGTGTTTCAGCGTCTTCATTTGTAAAACAGGAATAATAATAGTAGCCGGCAGTATGGTTGTTATGAGGATAATGAGTTAACATACATAAACGTGTTTTTAAAAAGAGACCATTAAAAAAAAAAAACGGAACCTGAAACATAGTAAGTGTACAAAATAATCAGCAACTAATATATTCTCTTTGCTCCTTCTTACACTACTGTCTACCTCTATAGTTTGTATTTTCTGTACAGTAACTAGCTGTTTTTGTGTTCGTCCTCCCCAAGAAACTGCGAGCTCCTTGCAGGTGGAGACTGTGTCTTACCCCTCTTTGTGTCCTCAATGCCCAGCAGAGGGCCTGGCAAAGAATAATGGATGGAGAGAGGGTGGGAGAGAGGGAGGGAAGAAAGAAGAAAGTGAGAAGAGAGGGAAAAGAGAGGAGGAAGGAAGGAGAGAAAAGAAAGGAAGAAAAAAGGAGGGGAGGAAGGGAGAAAGAAGGAACAAGGGAGGGAGGCTGGGTAGGAAGGCAGGAAGGGAGAGAAGGAGGGAGGGGAGGAAAACCGGCAGGCAAATCAAGGAGTCCAGGATATAGACTTATCTCTAGGGAGACAAATGCCTCCTGTCTCTTTGCCTCCCCTCCAACCCCTCCCAAGCACCAGATAGGAAGCTGAGTCCAGTGACCATCAGCTAGTCTCCATGTCATTAACTGCTTCAGGCACGATGCTAGAACCACCAAGAAGTGTGTTCCCCAGCCTCGACCTTCACTGCTGTCTGCACACAGCAGCACTCTCTCCTATCCCATCCCCACACCTCTGTTCAAGGGGCTTCTGCCTCCTGCAGTACCTCTGCACACACACCTGTGTCTCCACGTCTCACGTGTCCTTCAAGGCCCAGTCAGTGACCCCTGGCCCCAGGAATTCTTCCTTGATTTTCTAGCTAAGGGTATTTATTCTCCCGCCTGAGAAGTCCATTAGAATGTCGTCTGTCCCTCTCTCCTGCTAGTTCCCTGAACTATACTTGTGTCCAAAGCTCATTTGTCCTGTTAAATGTGGGCTCTTCCAGGGCATCTGGGTATCTGCTCCTGTGTCCCCTGCCCAGGCCAGGGCCTGCTGTGCAGAGGCTGCAGTAAGTGTTTGTGGAATTGAATTGTGCCTAACACATTCTTGACAGAGTAGAGGACGGGCTCTCAGCCATTGTGTTTCCACTCAGTGACCTACCTCTGACGATGCTGAGTTTGTGAGGCGAGAGGGGTGGCTTAGGGACTGCATCTTTCTTTTTTTTTGTGGCGACTCCTGTGACACTTCTGTTTTTCAGAACATCTGTTCCCCAAATCATGACTGCCAAGTTCTTTGTGTACTTGGAATCTCCTTGGGTTACTTGTAGCTGGTGCCATTTCTCCTCATCAACCCAAATCCCGCTTCCCAGATGGACCTGAAAGGGATAAGAACACCAGCACCTGTTTAGTGCAACAGGAGGGCAGCGGGAGGCTTCTCTTGTCCTTTAACAAGCACCACTGCACAGCGGTGAGGGTTCATACCACACATACTAACTTAACCCTCGTTAGGGTAAAAATAATCGCTATCGTTGACTGAACACCTGTAATGTGCCAGGCCTCATTCTAGTGCTTTAGAGTCACCATCTCAAATCTTCACGGCAACACTATTTTCATTTCAGATGAAACAACCAGGTTCAGAAAGGCGAGGTGACTTGCTGAAACTCACTCAACTAGTAAGGGGGAGAGCTGGGATTTTAAACTATAATCATGCTATTGCAAGGCTGCTCAGAGCCTGACTGGATCCCAGGACACATACTCTGTTCTGTGTTACACCATAAGACCTGCCTCCCTGTAATGTGAACATTCTGGGACACGTATCCTCCCAGCATAGTGGTTCTCAGCCTTGGCTGCACGCAGGGGTGACTGTATAGCAGGGACCTATAAAAATTGCTGGTGCTCAATGGTCTAGGTGTGGCCTAGGCATCAGGATGGTTTAAAGCCCCCTACAGGCAACAGACAGCTTAAAAACCCCTGCCAGTTGGAGTGAGGAGGGGACCAGCTGCCCTGCTGATCAGAGTGTAGCTGTGCAAGTCCTTTCCCATCTCTGAGCTTCAGTTTCTCTATCTGTGAAGTGGGAGAGTTGGATTTCCTTCTGGCTCAAAATACCTATGCTTTTAACAAATTAAACACAACCATGACACACCCAGCTTGATCTGACAGCACACAGAACAGAACACAATCTTATGCTCCCTGTAAGGGAAGCCGTCAGAAAGTTTCAGTGCAGAGTCGATAAATGCAAAAGATCTAGAATGTTCTAGCAATAAGCTATAAGCTTTTAAATGTGTTTTCCTTTCTGGCTCTTATAACAACTTGCAAACCATTTACTAACATTAATCATTAAAAAATAGTTTTGACTTTGACGTTGTCAGGTATATTGTGCTTCTGCTGAGTCTATGAAGGGAGGAAATGGCCTCTGTGGGGACAGAGGGGAGGCAGCTGCTAACGAGCTAAACTTTCTAAGGAGGTGAGAAAGCTCTGCTGAAGGTCTTTGTTTTCAGAGAGACCAGCAGGTCTCCAATATTGCATGGGCAGGAGACATCTTGGGAGAGGTCCTGGCTGAGACTGCACACACTCCCAAACTGAGGCAGACTGGCAAGACCCATCATTCAAAAGGCAATTAAAGATCTTTCTACGTAAGCTTGGCTTAGGGAGTAAGGTGGGTACACGCAGATAGGCAGACAGGTCAGCCAGCAACACTTCTTGCCATAGCAATTACTGAGGTTTTCCAACTATCAAAAAGAAGAAAATATAGCAACACAGCCCACCCACGAACATTAGTAAGCAAACAATCCACCTGCCACTTCTGACTTCACCTCCTTTTGCTCAAAAGATCATTCAGACCGCTGCAGGCAATCAGATAACCAGCTCCACCTGGCCCCTCTGTGCTGCAAACTTCAGAACCGCAAATCTGTTCATACAGCTGAGGAAAGATAAGCAACCCTGCTGGGAGATGTGCTCCCCGGGCTGACTAGGCAACGCTGACCCCAGGGTCAAATCTGCCTTTCCTCCGCAGTCTGAACTGCAGGTGAGCAGTCTGTGTGCCAGATTGGGCATGCTGAGGACACGTCCCCTGCTGCTCCCTGCTGGACCCTGCGTCACCTCCCTTGATGACACTCTGGAGCCACCCACACAAGCTTCCTGAAATAGGGGGAAAACAAGAAATTTTGAACTAGGTTAAATTCTGAATCAAAAATCTTAGAAGTGGAAGACAACTTCAGTTTTTCAGATATCTCTGCTGTTTTTTACACTGGGCCTTGCTTTCCTATGATCTTTAAATTTATTATTCTTAAAAGGGAGATGATAGTCATTTTAGGCAATGTTCTATAAGAGAAATGGGATGCTAATATGTTTTGAGTACCTGTAAGGATCCAGGTATTGTATACTCGATTTGTTTAATTCTCATAATGACTTGAAGAGATGGAAATAGAAATTATTATTCCCATTTTACAGATGTGAACAGAGATTCAGTGGGACTAAATTACTTTTCATAAGACACATAATCAGTACATTTTGGAATCAAGATTCAACCCCAAATCTGAAGCTCCTGCTCTCCCAGGCTTCCCTGCAGCTACCAGTGTCCTGGTGGTACTGATGGGCTGAAACACAGCAGAGTTTTCCTCTGATCTGCCTGGCCACTTCCTGCACCAGCCTCTAGTGCAGTTCACCACAGCAGACGGGGAAGCCAGGAAAACCGCCGGGGACTGGCCTTCCTGCTTCCAGTCCCTGCTCCCTCCAACCCACCATAGGGTCACATAAATTGTGACACATAAATTTTCCTAAAACGCCTCTTTCCTTCTTTGACTAGATGACATCTGTGGTCTTTCAACTCTGTTTTTATGTCAACACTCTGGAATTTCGGATGGCTCTCTGTTTTCTGTCACATCTAATCCTCAGCCTGGCTTTAAAGGCCCACTAGAATCCATTCTATCTATTAACCTTTACTCCCCTACTATGTTCATCACTCTACAAAGCTCCTGCACTCATTCACTTCCTTCTTCTTCCATTGTGCTGTAACATAAAGAGGATGGAGCCACCAACATGGGTGTAAATTACTGCTCTTCTACTTACTAGCTGGTTAACTTGGCCAGTCACTTTCCTTCTCTGAGCCTAACTTTTCTCAGTTGTGCAGCAGGCAGATAATTACCTAATTTATAGAGCTTCCTTGGGGATTAAATGAGAAAAGATGAATAAAATGTTAGAACAGCACACACTCAGTAACTGTTCCATCCTTCATTTCCTTTCTCCTCTCCATGTCCCTGCTCATGCCATTCCCCTGCCCAGGGATGAATGCTTCCCCTTATGTTTCCTTAAGCCTGCTAATCTTTCAAGCCCCAGTCTAAAATCCAGAAAACACTCCTTAGTTACTCCGGGGCTAAGTTCTATCCCTTCTGAATTTCTAGCCCACTTGGAGCATTTACTACCTGATTTAGCCCTTCACAGTATATCTTGGTGGGGAGGTTCAAGGCTTTGCCTCTTCTGTCCCCACAAAGTGATAAGGACGAGTCTGAACACAAAGCAGTAGGAAGCTGACAGGCATATTTAATGTCCTTATGGCACTAGTTCTTAGTTCTGGTGAGCTGCTGTTCCTTGAAGAAGAAAATATTTTCTGACATTCACTCAAGTAAAAGGCCAACTTAATAGCACAGAAAGAAATGGTCCTGTATAAGAATAATCACAGATATATTCTGGGTCATTTTAGACAGGGGCCCCTGAGGTCAGCAAAGCTCAAGGTCACCTGGCACAATGCACAGCTCTTAGGGATGCAGCAGAATAGACAGGGAAGAGCACTGGCCTGGGAACTGGCTTCCACTTCCTGCCTGCCTCTCCCTGTTGTATAACTGTAGACAGTCCCTTCTCTGGATGTGTTTCTCCATCCATACTATGTATAAGTTAGATGATTTAAACTTTAATGGTCTTTCCAGCTTTATGATTTAATGAGTTTGTGAAATAAAACATCTTAGACAAAGAAAAGCCATGCCCTTTATCAGAATCAACTAACGTGTGTGGCAAGCCCTGTCTTTGTAAACCACAGTGCACGATTTGGCCAAAATGTTAGTGTTATGTGTCAAGGGAGGTTATTAAAAATATGGCATTTGGCAGGATGGGACTTGATCAAAATATATCTTTGTGAAATGCTTTATAGGACAAAACCCGTTTCCTACTAGGAAATGGATCCCATTCCAATGCTGTAAGCCTTACAGAGAGAGATTAAGGCCCCTGATCCTGCAGAGAGAAGGAAGGGTCAGAAAGGACAGCAGAGCCAAGAGCAAGGAGGGCTACTTCTGGATGTGGGAAATTTTGCTCTGGGAAGCTGCCGTCCATTGTTAGCATGTCTATTTTCTTTCCTCCACCTTAATAAATCTCTCTTCTGACTACAAATTAGGTGCAAACAAAAACCAGGTTTGTCTTATGGCAACATCATGGCAAAAACCAATGAAAAAACAAAATAGGCATTTTCAAGATTTGTTGTTCAACTCACTTGTAAAAAAATTAAATGAGGTTTGAGAGACCCATTTTCTGGGAGAAGAATGCTATCTTTGCAAAGGGGGCCCCCTATAATGCTCAAAAACTGTCCATCAGCTTCAAAGCAAGAGAGAGATAGATTTCTCTTGGAAGCTACTTCAAGGAAACCTCTCTCGTCATTCCACAATGTGGTCATGACTAAAAGGAAATCAACAAACATAGGATAGTCCTATCTTCTTTTAAGTCCAATTAGAGAAGGTCTACCAAACTTAGATACACAGTTTGGGTCAAAAAAGGCATATGGAAAGCATCAGTCAGATCCCACCTTTCATAGATAAGGACACTGGGGCCCCAGAGAATGGAAGGACCTGCCCCTACCTGTCACACAGGTAGGACAGAGGTAGAGCTATGCTAAGAACTCAGGCTCCAGGACGCCTGCTTCTACTCTGTCCTGCCACCTCTCCTCTGCAAAGCTGACTTTTCAAGCCTGTTGAACAGAGCAAGGCAAGGCCTGTGGCCTGGCCCCTCAGCCTTGCCTCCACAGGGGAGAAAGCGCCCAGTGGGAGATGCAAGGACTGACAGCACATCCAAGAGAGCCCTGAAAACTAATAGGTTTCATTTCCTCAGCTTGACGATATTTGCTTTGGCTCAGGATGGCCAGCTGCAAGGATATATCTGTACAAACCCAAATAAAACAACCTTTTCTTTCTCATCAACCCACTGGGGAATGATACTAGATAAACAGAGACCTTTCGAAGCATGAGGCAAGAAAAATGAACTGATGCAGATGACTCTTTAAGGAGAATGAGAGGTGATATCTATAATGTGTGCTAGGGTGGCAGAGAGTATAACACCAAAGCTGGATTTTACCAGTGCCTAGATAAAAGGGTCTGATATACTTCTTTGAAGACGAATTCATTTCAATGTTAGAAGGATGTCAGAACAGTTTCCTCCTGTGCTCTGCTGCTATATCATCATGTGACTTTATGACTTCCAAAGGCTATTCTATTAGTTTTCAACCCTATATCAGTACCATTACTAATAGTGCTTACATTTGCTTTCATGATTTGTTTTCAAGTGTCATATAAGAAAATCCGAGGAATTATATGTGGCCCTGGGACTGCAGGCTAACCACTGCCAAATATACAGCTCAAAGGCAGCTTGGGGACAGAAGGCATGTCTCATTCCCCACTGTGTTCAGAGTATCTAGCATGAGGCTTGGAAGATACAGATGTTTGTAAACAGTGAACAAATATATATTGAGTTGTCACTATAAATCAGATACTTCCTTTCAAGTTCACCTGAGAGATTTAAGCATCTGGTTTCATAGAAAGGTAGAACAAGTTTCATCGCACTACAATGGGAATTTAAAAAAAAATCTTTCTCACTAATAAGCTATTTTAAAATGTCAGTTTAGTTTTACAGTTGCTTTGGCCCAATATGTGAAAAAAAAAAAAAAGACAAGAAAAGAAAAGAAAAAGAAAGAAAGGAGGAAGAAGGAAGAGGAAAAGGTCCTAGCAAAGCTACACTAGTTATAACAGAAAAATTCCAGAAATAGCCACTCAGGGCTAGGCCCAGAGGCCAAGCAGTCATGCCGTGCTGTGGAAAGCTCCCACCATACTCTCCATCTTTATGCTGACTAATAAGCACTTGTAGGGAATGGATATTGAGCTTAAAACACTACCTTGCCATTGTCTAGGATATACTTGTCCATGACAGGCGCAGGAGCGGGGTAATAGGACGACGTATTTGCTTCCTCACTGAAAGTGCTCCGTAACTCCGGCTCGGGCTCGAGACATTCTGACTTTACTTTTTCCAGGTCAATGGCAGGACCTAGGCAGTTAAGAAAAGAAATCTGTCTAGAACTCCAAGGAAAATAAAAGACAAATATTTTTAACTATGCATCTATCAGCACATAGTGGCACAAAAAAAAAATGCTAGCTTATTTTTGTCCATTGGACTACACTTAAACCCAGACTCAAAAATAATAAGAGGTATGAATGTCACAAGGGAAAGGTGAAAAACTGGAAGACAAGAATGGACTAGACTCTAATTAAGTATGAATGAGGAACACTGTTCTAGGGTATCATTGTCTAAATGGAAAGGCAAGAGACTCAAATTCCTGTACAGGAAACAGGTTCTGTTAAGACTGGGTTAGAGGAGAAGGGGTGGCAATTACTGGAATATGCAAATTGTGTACTTGCCAAAAACCCCACCTCAGCAGCCCACGGTGGAGAAGGCCGCAGCAAAAGAAGGGAGGTTAGGAAAGCTATGAGGAGCAATGTGAAGGCCTCCCTTCTCCAAGAACTCATTTCTAGACAGGAGCATTTGAACCAAGAAATTAAAATACAATACAGATTAAACCCCTGATTGCCTGATCCAGCAGCTACTCTGATTTTTATTTTAATGCAATCAACACAATTATGTGGGGTTTAAACAGTGAAAGGAAGCTAGATAAATGGTGGTAGTTTCCAACGGGGTTATTTTCTTCTCCATTAGCTTTTAAAATAGATGGACTTTTTTTTTTTTTAAGTCACCTATTGTGTCTTGATTACCAAAGGGCAGAGAAACAGGATGAAAATGGGTAAATAAGGCTGAATGGCTTGATTAACTTTTGTGGGAGAACAACTCCAAAGGCCAACAGTATTTAGCATGCTGGAAATTCTCCCTGTGCACACATTGCAGGAGTTGACTGACATCAGAGATTCAGCTATTGCCACACAACCCCCCGTGGCTGTGCATACAACTTAAGTAATGGAGGAATTCACAGTCCAATCTTCTCTAATGCTAACCATGTGGACAACTGGAAACAAAGCTCTTTATATATTAAAGCCCTCTGCCATAATCTGGTTGCAACTCTGTGTTCAGTTGCCACATCCTAGATGGTGGTAGGGAAGGTATTGGTGATTCTGTTACTAAAATTCCTCATGACAGGGCTTCTCAGAATGAGAATATCAACCCTGAGTTGCTAGCAGCTGCCAACTGCAAGATAGAATCTTTGTAGTCTCCAGAGAGTTAAGCATGAACTTCACACAAAGCTGAATGCAAGATGGTTGGGGAGCAGAACAGTGCAGATGAAAGAGCTCTCCTCATCTTGGTAGAGATTTCCGGTCCCACTCCTGGCTCTGCTGCATTTTAATTGTGTGACCACAGGCGAGTGAATGGTAGAGGCAGAAAGTGGCAGAGTGAAGGGCCGATAGCATCAGAATCATTCTGATAGCATCTTCCAATAATGCTATCAGATTCTATTCAAGAGCTGGGCTTAGGTCTTATATTTCCCTTGTCCCCAGCACCTGGCACTGAGTAGGTGTTCTCTGAATGTTTACTAAATGAATAAAAAATGACAACAATGAATGAATAAAGTTCCAGAAGCAGATGCCTAAGTTTCTCCTCTCTGTGTGGGATTTCAGTTTGAATTTCTGAGATACAGACAAACTCAAGTCGAGCATTTGATCTTTTCTCAGACCTGGGAAAAGGTAATTACTTCAGCTTCTCCTAAAGCTTGTGGCTGAGTTGGCATCTGAGGTCTTTTTCCTGTTCAGCAACAAGAAGAAGGAATGGGCTGACAGGAGGTCCATGTAGCTACTAGCTCACACATCCTCTTTGGCATGATCATGTTCCTCCTCTGAAGCCTACCTTTCCTTCCATGAGAGGTGGCTGTTGGACAAGAGAATATATCCAGTCCAGCTATGATTTCCATTTGATTCTCTCCTGTTTACCTCCACAATGGCTACCAAAGAGAACTTCCATGTGACAGTGTTTTTCCTTGCCTACGCTCTCCACTACCCTCTCATTAAGTCCCACACCTTCTTAAGGCCCAGAACAACTGGCATCCTCTCTACCTCCAGGGCTCACTTCTTGCTCCCCACAAAATTCACCTCTGCTCAGGTGCCCCAAGTGCCATGTTGCTCCAGGCCTCTGTGCTGCTGTCTTGGCCTTGAACACTACCTCATCTGTCTGCCAACTCCTCAGTCAGACTTTAGGACACAGCTCAGGTGTCTCCTTTGTGAGGCCTTGATCTGATCACTCCCAGGTAGGGGTCTCTATATTGTGAATACTTTTATTAGCAAATTACATTTGCAATCATCTACCTACCTGTCTGTTTTCAACATTAGACTGTGAAGCTCTTCAAGAGCAAAGTTTTGTTCCCTTTGTTATCCTGGAGCCTAGGGCAGTGCCTGGTACCTGGCAAGCTCTTAATAAATTCTACATGATATTAGAGGACAGAGAGAGTCGGGGGAGGGGGACAGGGAGAGACTTTCATGGGCCAGGGCAAAGATTCTGAAATAAAGCCCTGCTGCCGAGTGGCGGTGCTTGAGGGTGGAGGTACGGGTGGGTGGGAAGCTGTTCTGAATGTCTGTAACCTTTCTTGCAGCCTGAGAAGTAGAAATCAGGGCTGTTAAGTAGAAATCAGAAGCATCTAGTCAGGAGAATGGACAATTCAGATGGCTACAGATATAGATAGGCAAAGGACTCTTCCTCCACACTGTCTACAAAGGAGCTGGGTTGAGAGAATCGCCTCTCTGGCTCCGTCCACTGTTGGTCCCCTCCCCAGAGTCAGACTCCATTCTCGGCAAAGTGGCCTGACTGACCCTCCATGCACACACACCATTCTTTCCTGCCTCCAAGTCTTTGCTTATGCCATTCCCTTTGTTCAGAACGTTCTATCCCTACGATGTCCAACTATCCAAACTCCACCAGCAGTGCAAGGGCTGACTCAAATGCCACCTTTTCCACAAGGCTGCCCTGTCCCCTCAAATGGAGGTAAATAATTCTCCCCAGTGCTTGGCTTGGGATTTAGAGTCAGAGTGACTAGGGTTAAGTACTGGGTTTGCCACTTACTATTTAGGTGAGTTGTGATCTTTCTTGCATAGGAAAGCTCCACTGTCCTTTGGAGCCTCCCACACCCTCTGTCCCCACTCTACCATAATAATCAGATGTACTCATTTGTTTCTATGTCTGTCTCCCCAACTAGACTGTGAGGCTTGGGCAGGCAAGGACTGCCTTTTTATGACAGAAAACAGGGCTCACCCAGTGCAGTGCCTGGTTCAAATTCTATCCTCAAGATATAATTTACACATAAATAATGACTTTAACCTCTCTGACACTGTTGCCTCACCTGAAAGGACGAAAGGTAACAGTGACTTGGCAAGACTAAGGATTAAATGAGTGAACCACATGTATGAAATGATTATTTCAGAGTCTGGCACAGAGTGGCTGCTTGGTAAATAAGCGGTTCACTCCCCGACACTGCACTCTCCCCCACACACGTTATACTTGTGTCCTTTAGTTCATCTCTACCAAACCTTGGGTTCTGTGAACGGCGCCCCTGCTGCTCCGCTTTCGTCGCTGGTGCCCAGCACAGGCGCGGCACCCAGCTCATCCCTGCACTCCGCAGCCCGCCTGCCCTCCGCAGGCCCCTGCCCTCCACAGGCCCCTGCCCTCCACAGGCCCCTGCCGGTCTCCTCAGGGACTGTCAGAGTTTTGTCAAATACTGAGGCTGTTGTATTGGGATCTCTGGCTCTCAAGGAAAACAATTTCCTAACATTCTCAGTCAGTAGCATGTGTTTAACACCTGGTCACGGCTCTCTGCAAGGTTCCTCCTTCCAGGGCTTTATATACAGAAGGTACCCAGCGCCTCAGCCTCAGCAAGGGGGGCAGCTCGGAAAAACCAGCCAAAGCACATATTGAAAGGGATCTTTCAGGAGACCTGGGTGTGAATCCAGCTGCATGACTTCAGGCAAGTCAAGTCACCTCGCCTCTCTGCAAGATGGGGATTCGGGACAGCCACCACGCGGGCTGACGATGCCTGTGCAGGAGCTGAGCACCGAGGCAGGCACGGAACAGAGGCTCAGAGAACGGCAGATGAATGAAGGAATGAATCAATCAATAAAGCGTGATGTTTAGCATCACAGAATCAGAAGGAAAAGAGGGGAAAAAAAGCGTGTGGTTTCTTTGGGGAGAAGAGGGAGGGCCTCTAGGAAAGGGGAAAAATCACTTCATTGCAAATTTTAGTCGGCTCCACTACCAATGTTGGCAATTTACATCTCATTACAACAAATGCTTCAGATTGCTGTTTTGCTTTTAAAAATTTCTGAGGCATTGTTCTCCCTCAAACACATGTGACCAAATTAGCCACAATAATAAGCACTTGCATTAAGGGAGAGCATTGTACGATGTGGCGCAGATATTTAAGGTAACAAAGGAACTTTTTTTCACTTTGTGGGAAGAGTAGGAATCAAAAATAAAAAATGCCCCTTTGATCCACTTACATTCTGGTATTGACACACACCTGAGGTTTATTTTGGGGAAAATATACCTTCCATGAAGAACTCTCTCAGCTGGGTAAAGGAAGCTTTTAAAAGAGTATAAAAGGTAGTACTTGTTTTTCCTTCAGTCATTCAGGAGCCTGTTCGTCACACAATCCCCGACTGCATATCAAGATCCAGGCTCTGTAAGAGGCACTGGGGGCCCAGAGACAAATAAAGTGTGTCCCAGTTCTGGGGAAGTTCAGAATTTAACATGTGAAATGCTATTACATCGCATACAGACTGCTGCGATTTGATGGATGAGCAATGGATTTAGTGTTAGAAAAACCTGGTGCAGACCCTGGTTCTGTTATTTGCTTCACCTCCAAAGCCATAGTGGCTCCTATAAAATGGGAATATGGCACAAAGTGAGGGCCTTTGTGTTTGTTGGTACAACAAGTAGATGAAATTACACTATTCTCTATTCTTGTTTATATTTCAAATTGGACAAATGCTGCTCTTTCTGAAAAGCTTTCTAAAAAGTTAATGTTTGGATGATTTCCAGGAAGATTAGAAATCACCTAT